CTCCTCGCTCTCTGTTTCCAGTCAGTTTCTTATTCCATTTGGTGCTTGGGTGAGTTCTTTATCTCTTCATCCGATGCTTAGGGTTTCAGGATTGATGTGTGACTCTGTTTGACTTAGTTTTTTGGATCTTTGCTGTGGAGGGACGACATGGTGTTTCTCTCTATAGCGCCATGTTGCCTGGAAGTCTTGAGAATGCATATTTCTACAGCTTCCCCCACAAAATGTGTGCTCAAACTTTTGGATTTTTGCCCATCTGGTAAGTGAGAAATGGTATCTCAATGTTATCTTAATTTCTGTGAAATTTCATAGTAAATGAAGTAGAGTATCTTTTCATAAATTGAAGAGCCTTTTATTCCCCTGTAAACTCTGTATTCATAGTCTTTGCATGATATTCTGTTGGGTTGTGTTGCAGTTGTTACTGCCATTCCCACTTCCCCTTTGCAGTCACGTCTACCATAAGCTGCTTGTGTGAACACCTGTAACATTTTGCCTGTGGGCTTTTTTCCTGGCCGTGGTAATGTGTGCTGCCAGCATGTAAGACAAGTCAGAAGTGCCTGAAAGCTGCTCTCAACCAGTGATCATCTAGGGTTTGGTAGATAAATACCCCAGATTTCTTGAGGTATGTTTGACACTGTCTCAGTTTAGCTCAACTTGCCTACATTGGTAACTGGCATGAAAACACACTTTATTCTCTGCCTGCTCTGTTTAGTTTCCTACTCCATTCCCAGTATTTAATGATTTCACTTCCTGAGTAAAGTGTTCGCGCTAGAATTCTTGCCTCAGGGTTTGCTTCTTGGATACCCAAACCAAGACAGGTTGTTAAACTTATCTTGGAGTGCCAGTCAAAGTGTGATTTGCATATTGCACTGTTTTGTGAACTGTATCTTACCCCTCTGTGATAAATTCAGAAATTGAGATGAAAAGTTTAGTAACTTTTATAGCAGTTTGACATTGTCACAGTATTTAAGTGTGTGGTTTTGTATTTTATAGAGACATTGTCTGTGATGTAGTGGAAAAAAGAAAATGGTTCGTCACCAATTTTTTGCTGATAGTTGAAGAAGCACTGCTTTAAATGATGGCACAAAGAACAATGGGTGGACATCATAAGTACAATAATTTTGCTTAGATATAAGAGAGAGTTTTCTGACAATTACCCGCAGTACCTAAAAATGGAATCGATTTCTGCTTGGAGGCGATCAGTGCACTGACATGAGAAGAATTTAGCCTACTTGGATGACTGGCTGTTGGACATGCTGTAGAGAATCCCTGGTTCTTTTGGTAGCAGATTGTTTCCTTTTTAACAGATCCTACAACCCTGCTCTAATCAAATGAGAACAGTAATTCTGTCATTAAAAAAAGTCTCTATCCATCTTGTTAGTATGAAAGAAAGGATTGGTAAAAATAAAATGAATCAGTTTGTTATGCTCCTTAAAAGCCTGTTGATGTAGAGGAAAGCTTAGTTCTAGTTGATCATGTTTTGACAGTTTTTGATATTTTGTGATTTATTGTCCAACCGTTCTCCATATCTGTAAAACAGAACCTGGCAGCTGTAGGCAATAGGACTATTTTTTTTTTTTTTTTACATTAAGCTTTCTCAAGTAGTATTAAAATATTAAATAAAAGTGTTGTAAGATTTCCTGGATGAGTCACTGGTTCTTAAGAACAAATAAATTGACTCAATACACAAAGTGTTAAAGGGGAAACTGGAGAGAAACAAAACATTTGCATTTCAGTTCCTGGAAGAGTTGTACTCTTCTTGCCTTTACTTTGAGTCTCCAGGTCAGGGGATTTTTTTCTACCTCCATGTGAACAAAGCTCCTTTTAGAGTTTAGTAAAGGTTGTTTGTGGTCAGATTGGAATGGGAAGATTAAAATGGCAGTTGTAATGGGGTTGAACTCAATACTGAAACCACAGATCCTAGGTCACCCCACCTTTATAGGATGTATTGAAATCAACAAAAAGCAAATGTGGAGTGTTGAGGACAGGCAATCAGGAATATTTTAAATGCTAATGAAATTCTTGTTTTTAAAAATGTTTCAAAAAAGAATTTCCAGAGATTAATCCAGCCAAACGTGGATTGAAAGGGACAATTTGGAGGACAGCCTGGGTGTTCTCCGTTATATTGTTGTGTTGAAACAGAGTATCCCAGGGATCAGACTGCCTCATTTCAGATCCTAGCTCTGACTCTTACTAGTGAATTTAGGCAAGGCACTTTATGTTTTTAAGCCTCAGTTTCTTCATCTGAACAGCTGGGATATTAACAGTACTTTAGAGAATTGTTATGAGGATTATGCCGTCAGTGTCTGGTTGTCCAACGTTTGTGATGCTAACATGATATACAATTTCCCATCAAATTTTCATCTAGTAATTTCAGCTGCCTGAATCATTTTCTTCCAGAAAACAAAAACAAAAACAAAAAAAACTTGTCATCGAGTCGATTCCAACTCATAGCGACCCTATAGGACAGAGCAGAACTGCCACATAGGGTTTCCAAGGAGCACCTGGTGGATTCAGACTGCCTACCTTTTGTTTAGCAGCCGTAGCTCTTACCTGTTGCACCACTGGGGGGTGGGGGGTAGGGGTACAAAATAGTCATTTTCTAATTTTCTCTCTTTTCACTTCTATTAACTGAATTATTTCTGTAGAGAAAAACTTTCCAAAGTCAACTAGGTCTATTTAGTTACCCTGTAGTAGAGAAAATGCAAGATAAATGCTTAATTCTTTCCTTTTTACTGCCAATTTTCAAAGTAAGGTCAAGTTTTTGGCACAGGCCTTGGCTCATACTAGTATACAATAAACATTTTTAGAAGCTTTGCAAGTTTCCCTTGTAGCAGGAAGCTAGTAGTACCAATATTTCTTTTCCTTTCGGTTTGGCTAATGTAGAGGTGCACTGTCGCACTCCTCCACATTCCCCTTTTTTCTAACCCTCTTCACCCTTGATCCTCTGCTCCCTCATTTAGCTCTGTTTTTCACTTCTCCCTATCTGAGAGCTCAGGGCTTTGCTTTGATCTTGAGGAATGTTAGTTCATAGGAAATACTTTACTCTCCTTTCCTAAATTCTACTGAAAAAATCTTTAGAAGGGTAGAAGATTTTTCTACATTGTAATCCTAACTCACTGTAGAAAGTTGGAATAAGATCATGTAAAGCTGTGTGTGTGTGTTGGATAGGTGGAGCAGGAAGATAATGGTGGTGAGGATGGAGGATGAAAATGGTGAGCTTCGCGTGCAGCGCCTTGGGTGTCATTCTACCTTGATTTTGGGAAGAGTCCCAAAATAATTGGAGTTCCTAGAGGTGAAATTCGTTCTATACATTCAGCGTTATCATGGCTCTTTTGTTATACCTGAGCAATAAACAAATGAGCTCTTTAATGAATTTCTAATTGAAAAATGCTTTGAGTAGGAGCTTCTCCATTTTCTTCTACCTTATTCCAGGTTGCCAGCCTTCTGTTTGTCAATTTTTATTTTTATTTTGTAATTATGATAACACCCTTCAGGGGTGCAGCATACACTTGTGCAGGTTGTTGGGTATCCAGTCACACAGGCCCAAATCCAACCCGAAGTCCACTTTCCAAGCCATTTTACCTGGTCAGGTGGCATCTGCCTGGAGGAAAGCCTTTTTCTAGTTCTCACGAAAGTCATGCACAGGGTAATATTGATCCAGATATTGTCATCATCTTTAACAGAAGCTTAGTGCCCCCTAAGCAATGACTCCTTCATTACCTACCCCCCACCCCGGGCCCTCTGGTAACCACTATTAAACTTCAGGAGCTATACGTTTTATTTGTATATTCTAGATATTTCATATAAGTGGGATCATACAATATTTGTCCTTTTGTGTCTGACTTATTTCACTGAACATACTGTTTTCAAGGTTCATGCATCATTAATGTATTTTTAAACTCATATACTGCCTCTCCTTTTCCTTATCCCTGAAAGGATGAATTTTTAGTCCCAGTTGCTAGAAATACTGTGATTCAAAACCTTTTTTTTTAATTCACTGTTTGGAAAACTGATAAATCAAAACCAGAATTAAACAGAACTAGAAAGTATTTTTAAAATAATGTTTAATGAGCACATATTTATAAAAGCAGTCATTGCTTAACATGGGAGAAACATAAAAAAAAATGATCTATGAGCCTAATACATATTTTCCTGGAATATATGAAACATACCAGCAGTAAAGAAGTTTAATCTGATTTTTTAATGTAAAACAGTTTAGACCTGATAGAAGGAATACGGTTTGCTGAAAGCACCCTATTTCCACCTGTTCCAAACTCACTCTTTCCCCCTTAAACAAACTGTAGGAGTTAACTGTGTTAAAGTGGTCAAATTGGTTTGATGGTTTTGGGAAAAGGGCAATATATTAGGAGGGGTGGAAGGAGGAAATCGGCTTTCTCTGATCAGCTGGTGGAGGTTGGAGCCCTTATAGTTGGGGCTGATGGTCAGGCCTGGCAATACAGCTGTTATGTCAAAGCTGTGCGGGGTGCTCTTTCACTTCAGACTTGATACCAAAACAAAAACCCAAACCCATTACCAACGAGTCTATTCTGACTCATAGCAACCTTACAAGGACAGAGTAGAACTGCCCCCATAGGGTTTCCAAGGAGCAGCAGGTGAATTTAACTGCTGACCTTTTAGTTAGCAGCCAAGCTGTTAATCACTATGCCACAAGTGATCCTCAGACTTGATAGGTGGCTTTTATTAAACACTCAAGTAGAAGATCTGTGGTGGTGCAGTGGTTAAGAGCTCAGCTGTTAACCAAAGAGTTGGCAGTCTGAGTTGGCCGGCTGCTCCTTGGAGTCCCTGTCGGGCAGTTCTAACCCTGTCCTATAGGATCCGTTATGAGTCAGAATGGTTTTTTGATTTGAGTCGAAATCGACTAGACCACTATGGGTTTGGGTTTTTTCTTTCTCCTTAGAGCATTTTTACTAGCTACAGTGTAAAGTCCTTTTTATTATAGGTAAGCGCTTTACCCAGGTGTGGCATTTTCTATTTTTAGGGATACAATATGACCAAGTGGAAACATTACTTTTTTTACACAAAGGAGCATGGTTAGCTTCAAAATCTATCTCCAGACCATCCAGGAGAGGAGGTAAGTTTCAGTCAACCAACTCTTTGGTCAAAGTACAGGTTCCATCTCAAGAACACTTGGCTGTTTTGCCTGAAGTGGACTGGATGGGTAGTGACATTTTTGACATTTTCCCTGTCTTTCCCCGCTGATGTTCTATGGGTCAGCACTACATATAATGGCTTTGCTCAAAATCTGTTTTGTATTCTTGGCTTGGGTTGGGTCAAGGATAAATGAATGGAGCATGTTATGTGTACCTTCTTACCTGTTTATAAATGAACAAAAATTAAGATAAAAAACAAACTTGATAAATGTGTGACGAAACCAACACTGTCATCCAATGCTAATAATATTGATATGTCAGTTTAGAAATAAATCGGCAATATATATCAAATACTATAAAAAGTTATTTAATTTTTTAACCCCACTTCTTGCCAATTATTCTGAGGAAATGTGTGCTAAGAAATTCTCTAAAATGTTATTTGTTTTGGTAAAAAGGGATACAACCTATATGTTTTAATTAGGACAGTGGTTAAATAAATGCCCATTTGATTAAATTATTCAGTCATTAAATAAATTTAAATACCGTGTAAGTAGGAGAACAAAACTTCTAATATGTTAAGTGAAAAATGTGTGATAAAAATGAATTGTGAAAAATGCATATAAAATTGAATATACAGTATGGATAAAATTATTTTTAAAAGGTTCTCTAGAAAAATCCTGGATTACTGTTGATTTTTTATATATTCTAAATATTTTGTTTAATGCCATGTGTTATATGTGTTAATAAAAGTGAAAAAGAGAAAAAATAAATGACTTTTCTAAAGTGGAGAGAAAAATACCAACCTGATGCCTGTTGGTTATTTTGACATGTGGGAGGATGGTGTAAAAAGCTCCTTTTAGCTCCATGCTTGAGCTGGGAAGGCTAAGCCTGCTGAAGGTCATCTTGGAAATGGCATTTTCACCACAGAAAAACAGAAACATTCTGTTCTGCATTCTAGCAAGGATTTGAGAAAGAACCAAGTCTCGTAATTGCTGCTCACACCTTTTTGGTCCTTCGGCTTTCCATAAGTTTTCTCTGTGTATTGGTAAGATTTATACCATCAGATTATTCATTGTATTTCACTGCTTAAAAATTGTAATAAACTATGACAAATTATAGAAGCTGCTTTTTTAGTACTAGAAATACATCCCATGCACGGTTAATATTGAACAATATTTGGAATATATACTTTATAAAACATACTGAAGCAAAAACCTAATACCAAACCTAATTTAGTACAACTTTACAATATTTAGTTTCCCAGCTAGTTTATTTAAACTTTTTTGTGCAAGACAATTTGTGTAGAATTATTTAAATAAATTCTGGGTTATTTAAACTTTTTGTGCAAGGACTTTTATCAACCCTTCATCCTTATGGCACATTTAAAAGAATCCTTGTGATATCCTTCCATTTTTATTCATCTTTCCTATACCTGTTCCTTGTAGAGGAAGAGTAATGCCAGCTGTATAGATTTGCCAATGTGCAAGGCATGCTTACTCTAAATCGTGATATTTTTGTTGTGTTATAAAATAGTTCTGCAGAGTATACATCCACTTTGGGAAGAGAAAAATCAAGGAGCACATTTAACTACAGAATTTATTATGGCAATATTTATGATCATCTTTATTTCCAAAAAATAAACAAATCTCATTCCTTTTACTGCGTTTACCTCTTTTCTTCAGGTATACAGAATAAAGCCTTTATCAGTGGCCAATATCTTACTGTTCTGTCTTTCATGGCACTCAGTTCTCAAACCAGAGGAGGAAGTTACGTGTAATTCCCCTGGATTTTGCAAGACATTAGGTCATGCAAGTTACACACAACAAAGAAGCCTCTTAGTGTGAAACTACAAGGCTAATCTCAACGTCAGCTCTATGGCCTCTGAGAAAACAGGCAGGGACCTGCGCTGATTCATTCATCACTAACCTCAACTAAAGGCTAGTGTTCTCTTCCTGTTTGCTGATTTCTCAAGTGAACGCAAAGTTTCTTTCTCTGTTCACAGATTTCAGGCTATTTCAAGAAGAAAGCTTTCTTAACTGTACCTATTATTCTTCTCTGAACATTGAACGCAGTAGTTCAGAAATCCAAGTAAATCGAAATTTGCTTTAAATATCTGTTTTTCCATTCAATGCTGATGAAATTTTTGAGTTTCTTTCCCATCCCTGGCGGATCCGCGTAAGGGTCTTGTCTATACATGGCATGATGAGGATAAACTTGATCACCAGCATGGTGCAAGGAATGATGAGTGCTAACACGTAGGCTGAAGGAAGACACCATCTGAGAGTTGAAGGGCTGAGGAATCTTTTTCCCCCGTAAGCCAGTGTGTGGGCTGTGCACAAGATCAGGGTCAGATAACCCAGTTTGGACTATAAAGCAAGAAACAAATAAATGTAAACATGCTATTTACATTTATAGTGAAAACACTCTAAGCCATTGAAGGATATTTGTCCACAACCACAAACACTTGAGACCCATAATATTTAGGATACTGAAGGAAGCATTAACCCTCCTTGGGGATGGTAAATATTTCATTAAAAAAGAAAAAAGATTGTTGCTTACAAAATACATAGTGACTTCATCTTAACCTTACTGGATGGGAGAGTTTCCCAGGAATAACTCTTTTGAGTTAGAATAAATCATATACCTTGCCGTCCTCCCCAGATGGTATTTTCTGGAGGTCAGAGATGAATAAGACATACTATGTCCTCAAGAAGCATCTCATTCATATATGTTACTGACTGAAAGCAGATGCTAGCTAATTTCAACAGCAGTAAAGAACAATTAGCAAACTTTACTTTTTTCTTTTTTCCTACTTTCTAAAGCTCAATGCTTGTTTCTGTCTTAATGCCTTGAATAAAGGTGATAGCATCAGAAAATATTGACTGCATTTGGCTCCTGGGATAAACTGCAAGACTTAAAATTCAAATACTTCTATAAAATTCAAACCTAATTACAATTACTAATGGCCTCTCTATTATACTAATTTGCATTGAGCATACATCAGAATCATCTGGAGGGCTTGTTAAAACAGATTGCTGAGCCTCACCTCCAGAGTTTCTGATTCAGTAGGTCTGGGGTGGGGTTTAAAGATTTGAGTATCTAACAAGTTCCCAGGTAATGTTGATGCTGCTGGTCCAGGGACCACACTGAGGCACCCTGGTGGTGCAGTGGTTAAGAGCTCAGGCTGTTAACTAAAAGGTCAGCAGTTTGAATCCACCAGCCGCTCCTTGGAAGCCCTATAGGGCAGTTCTACTCTGCCCTATAGGGTTGCTATGAGTCAGAGTCGACTTGACAGCAACGGGTGTCAGGTCTATATGAATGCAGCCCTGGTGGCGCAGTGGTTAAAGTGGTAGACTGCTAACTTACAGGTCAGCTGTTTGAAACCACCAGCAGCTCTTCGGGAGAAAGATGTGGCAGTCTGCTTCCATAGAGATTTACAGCCTTGGAAACCCTATGGGGTTGCTATGAGTCGGAATCGACTCAATGGCAGTGGGTTTTTGGGGTTTAGTCTATGTGAATTGTTACTAACCAGTTTCAATGAAGTGTCCGGTGGTTGATATGTGGGAAAAAATTTTCCTCTTACAACCAGCATTAAGTCTGGCATGATGACAGTCTCTTCCATCTTATTTTGAAGGTTTCAGACTTTATTTCAATACATGTCTGTCCGTATAAATATATCCATATGGTAAATCTTAATTTTCAGAAGTAGCAATTTTGTCTTTTTTCTCTTCACCTTGCATATAGTACATGTCCACATAAAAAATTTATAGTTTTTGGTGCTTTTTACTCTAGAGTCTTAGCTGTGGCTCTGGGAACAGTTGGAAATCTTGGCAAGGGATACCTCACTAGGAAATCACACCATTATGGAACCTGTCCTTTTAAATCACACCATTATGGAACCTGTCCTTTTTTATCTGAGTTTAGCATTTACTAATTTGAGCTTCTTTCATTTGCTTTGTAAAAAGGAGATTGCTAGGGAGGTGGTGGAGCAAAATCAAAAATTAGGCATGATATGAGTATTTGTAAAGTCATATTCATTTTGCAATATAAAGCAGATTAGATCTCAAAGTCCTTACCTGGACAAATCGGAATTCTCTCCAGTTGACCGTGTTGCTAACTGATGGCAAGGAAGTGATTCCCAAGAGCACAAACAGAAAAAATCCGAGGATTCCCAAAGCCAAATATGAATCACTATGCCAGGCTGAAGAGGTACTGAGTGGATTGTCTTTATTGGCAATCTTTGAAGGAAAATTACAATCAATTTTTAAAAATTACATTTTTTTTTTTTTTTTTACCAACTGCCCATACTTGTAAGGGGATTGAAAATACCTCTGCATGGTTTATTTGCTCAAGGCAAATTGCAGAGCACTTCTTAATAATTATTTTAAAATAATCGAAGAGAAAACTACACTTAGAAATTACGTTTTTGGTAGAAAAAGTAATTGGCTCTGTTGGGACTTTTTTATAATACTTGGCTCCAGAAGCTGTGCCAGCAGTTTTAATTTACCTTATAAATCCTAAAACAAAGTATACATTTACTTAAACTGTCTTTACCATATGGCTTTTTGTTCCCTGAGCAAAACTTAATGTTCTCAAACGACTACATCAGAATTCTGTTTTGTGCTTTATAATGCTGACTCCTCACCCATACAAAGTTTGACTTCTCTCATGTTTATTATGTCAGAATATAGCATCAAATCTGTGGCATCACAGGTTGAGAAGCATCAAACCCTTTCAGTGTGACTCTTACTCAAAAATTTCCCAAGTACTTCTTAGGGAAATAATGCAGAGAAGCCCATAGAAGCATCATCCACATGTTACTGACCAATAATCTTTAAGACTGAAGTAAGATGGATCAAAACCAGTTATTTCTCAACCAGAACTGACCTACAGCACTTTCTCTGGGACTTCTCTAAGAGACCCTTGCTGATGCTCTCAATTTTTTGGCTGTGTAGATACTGCTTGACATTTTCTCAGAACTTTTTTCTAGTTGGCGAAGACAACTTCCTACAAGTCAAACATGAATGTGTATTTTCATGGGAAGAGATGGATTTATAAGCACCCTTGTGTGAAATTGTATACATTCCTGTGGCACATGTGTGCACAGCCCTCTTACTTAAACGATGATTGGTTTTGACTTCCAAAGGGAAGTAACATGTATAAAAATCAAAACTTGAAAACACGTTGGTTTGCATTTATTGACTTTAATCCAAGTGACTTCAAGTGAATACGAGGCGTCATTCGCTTTCCTGAAGCACCAAATCCACCAAGTTTTTAGTACCCTAGCCAGTCCTGGGAATACAGATCTGGACCTGAGTAAGCCTGGGGAATCTAAGTTAGATTCAACTCAATAGTTATATGAGATTTTAACTGGATTCATTACAGAAACAGACATGAGGTTTCTAATTTCAGTTACTTTAAAAAATAAAGATGTTTAGAAGAATTATTTTCTAGAATAGTGACATGGAATATGAAGGAAGATATAGCAAGATTCTTTGTTTTAAGGAAAAGAAGAATAAAAATGACTAGAGATTTACCTGAGTAACGGTTATGTTTCTCAACTTCCATCGTACATAATAGCGGATGGGAATCACAAGTGTGTAGAGGACGTGAAGGAAGGCAAAGCCCAGTGCTATTAAGCCAAGCTGCTTTCTGCAAAGCATCCAGTGGTCAAGCCAGTCTGGGAATCGGCGGTATTTCGTACCTCGATACAGCTGCAGAATGGCAGCAATAACACCGGGGAGGTAAACCAAGGCCAGCAGTGTAAGTGCTGCTATTGGAAAGACACGGTTTGGAATGGAGATAGCCATGCGAAATGTTTCATCTTTCTTTTTATAAACATAAGGGTAGATTACTTCTCTTACAACACAGTAGAAAAAGAGGAAGATACACAGCACAGCAGACAAATAGATGGGGAACCTCCACATTGGAAATAGCTGCAGGGGGTAGTTTTCAATTTCCTTAGCTGCCACGAGAGATCCTTGATCCAATGGAGTAAGTCCAAGAGTACGAACAATGTCCATTACTCTTTGCTTAGCTTTGCTGTCATTTCCGCAGGCAAACACCTGGATTAAAAATAGTTAATTCTGTATTTTTTATTTATTTACTTAATTATTTTGGAAGTCTTTTATGAGCACTGTGCAAAACAACAGCATGTAGTAGTGATCTGTTTTTCAAACAAGCATATAGAATTAATGTATTTAACAAGATGACATTTTAAACTTGCACGTGTCTGCTGCATAGCTAAGTACCAGGTTTTTAAATTGAGGGAGGTTATAGGCACATCATCCTGATATGATAAGACTTGGGTTTCTGCAGTGTGAACAGTTTGATCTCTCTTCTGTGTTTGTGAGTGCCACCTAACTTATGAATCATTTCTAATCTAAGCAAATAAATGGAACCCGTCTCATACAAGGTAAAGGAAATGGAAACGAATTGCCACCAATGAATTAGCTGTGTTACTTTCTAGCAGTGACAAGAGGCCTCCCTAGACTGTTGCCATTGGGTTCCATCGAACTAAAAGCTGAGAGTATAGGCAGTGTGCTATATCGTTCAACAACTGACTGCCTTACCTGGTCAGATGAAAGAAAATTATTAATGGCACATATTAGCAGAATGAGATGTTTAGTAAGTATTTTATTTTGGAATTGTATTTTGGAATCTTTGAGTTAAATGCACATTAAAAGACAAACATTTTAAAGATTGAGTGTAAATTTATCATTTAATTTTACCTGTCGGCTAGCATCCAGTGCTCCTGACTGCAGAGCCCAGGCTGAGACGGTGTTAAATGCTTTCACGACACGGGTTCCCGGCACCAACTGAGCAAGGTACTCTGCGTTAGATTCTGGATACTGATTGATTTTGAGGTTGTTGCTGACGTCGACCAGTATTTTCCCATTGAGAACCTCAGCTAATTCTGTGAGAAAATCATAATGCTCTCTATGGATTGCTACGATTATGATGTCAGAGTTCTGGGCTGCTTCTGAATAGCTTAAAACCTCAGCACCGTTGGGCAGGAGACTGGACATCTGAGGGTTTCGACTTCCAAAAACAACAGAGTAGCCACATTGGATCATTTTAAATCCTAATGATCTTCCAAAATCCCCAGTTCCAAAGATACATATAGTCTCTTGCTTTTCTGAAGAATTCATAGTGAGAGGAAGCGCATCTGTACAGGTTTTCTCCATAACTGAAAAATAATAATACAAATACCTAACAAAACATGAATGCTCTGGCACTGAAAAATCAATGAGAATTATATCCAGGAAACGGTGTAACTGGCATTATCTCTGCAGTTGCTCTAATCTCTAATGGATTATTTTAAGAATTTTCCTCCCAAATTTTGGGAGGAGCAAAAACTATCATATCCATTCTCATATGTGCTGTTAACAAAATCACTGGTGAATTTTTTTTTCTGTTAGAGGAAGAGATGCAGTGAAAAACCAAGACACTGGTAAATGCATTAAACTATGGAGATATATTGCAATGATATTGTATTCATCAAATACAGTTCTAAAAGTTCTCAGAGCAAAATCTGACAAAGAATGCAGAAGAAGGAAATTATAGATCAATTAATTTATGTTTAGTGATACAAAAATCCTAAAGAAAATGTTAGCAAACAGAACCCAGCAGCCTGTTAAGAGAAAAGTGCACCTGATCGAGTGCGGCTTATTCTAGCAACGTACAGTTTAGTTCTGCAAGTTCAATATTAGGAAATTTACTAATACACCTTAACAAGATTTAAGGAAAAAATGCAGTCATCTCTGTGTATGCTAATTTGATGTGTTAAAATTCAACATTCATTTTTGGCTTATAGTAAAACAAGGAACAGATCCATATTACTTTCACATAGAAAAGTATCTATCTCAACCAAAACCCCAGTATCATTCTTTAGAGTACATATTCCTAGAAATATTTCCAATAAAGTCAGAAACAAAACAAATATGACTGCTATGACCACTTTAGTTATAATTGTTCTGGGGGTTCTAGCTGACACAGTTAGACCAGAGAAGTAAATTAGAAGCACAGAAATTCAAAAAGGGTTGCAGGTGATCAAATTTTAGACTTGGAAAAACCAAGTTACTGAAAAACTGTACATATAAAAATAATTCAATGTCTTGTCTGGAAACACATTTAAAATCAATATTCTTAATATATTTGAAAAACGAAACAGTAAAAATTTAATAAAAGGACTCTATAGCTACAACAAAATAGAGAAAATATTTAGACATAAATGTAACAAGATATGCACAAGATCTATATGAAGAAATTTGAAAATGCCCCTAAGAATCAGAGAAGACAAATAAATGGAAATGTACACCATGTTCTTGGATAGGAAGACTCAGCCTCACAAAGATGTCAGGTTTCCCTAATTCAGTCTATAAATTATGAAAAGCCAGGTAATGAATGGAAAGCTAGTCTTATCAAACATTAAAAATATTATGAAGTTAAAATGAATAATGTAGTACTATCACAGGTATGGAAAATTCTCAATGGAACAGAGTAAAACAAAAATCCCAAAGTAGATCAACATACATGTGATAAAGATGGCATTTCAGGTCAATCAGAAAAATATGATTATTCAGTGGCGAATGTTGGGATGAGGAGCCCTGCTGGTGCAATGGTTAAGCATTCAGCTGCTAACCAAAAAGATCAGCGGTTCGAACCCACCAGCCACTCCATGGGAGAAAGATGTGGCAATCTACTTCCATAAAGATTTCACCCAGAGTTCTACTCTGTCCTGTAGGGTTGCTGTGAGTCCGAATTGACTCGATGGCAACAGGTTTTTTTTTTTTAATGTTGGGGCAACTAAATAGCCAATAAAAATAGTTGAATCTTTATGGAATATGTGGCTAATTGCCTCCATGAACAACTGCCTCCTTTGCCATGAGACCAGAAGAACTAGATGGTGCCCAGCTACCATTACTGAACATTTTGATCAAAGATTTCGTAGAAGAATCCTGATCAAAAGGGGGAAAATGTAGAACAGAATTTCAAATTCTCATGGATTGTAGACTTCCTGGAGCCATGGAGGGTGGATGAACCCCTGAAACTATTGCCCTGAGATAATCTTTAAACCTTAACCAAAAATATCCCCTGAAGTCATCTTAAAATCAAACAATAGTTTAGCTTAATTAGTAAAAAAAGTTTGCCTTGAGCATTATGCTCTTTTAAGAACTATTTATAAGGGATCAAATTGACAACAGCAACTCAAAAGATTAGATAGGAACCTTATGGGGCAGTGAGTTTATGTTAATGAGGGAGGAACAACTCAGAAAAGGAGGGTGAGAATGGTTGTGCAACTGAAACAATGTAATCAGTGTCACTAAATTGTACCTGTAGAAACCGTTGAATTGGTGTTTTACTGTATATTCTCAACAACAACAACAAAATAAGTAAAATATAGGAAAAAATATATCAAAGATTTAAATGTTTTTTTTAAAAAAATGGAACTAAAAGAGAACTAGAAGAAACCATGGAAAATTATTTTATTAGAGAAAGAAGGCCCTTTTTCCTATGTTACAAATCCCTCAAACGATTCAAGAATAGTTTGAAGTTAAATACATAAAAAGAAATAATACATACAAAGCAGAAACCATTGTAAGCAAAGTCAGAAGACAACAAACTGGGAAAAATATTTTCAACTCATGCAAATAAGAAAAAAAATTGCCCATAAAAATTATTGGTCAAAATATATGAGCTGACAGTTGATCCTAAGGAAGTACAAAGGAGTTTTAAATATAGTAAAAGATTCTTAATCTCATCCTAAGGAAGTACAAAGGAGTTTTAAATATAGTAAAAGATTCTTAATCTCACCAAAGGAAAAAAAAAGTTAAAACGGAGAAACTGTTATGAACTATGTGACTGTATTACTTTTTAAAAATTTGTGAAATTTATATTAAAAACAAACCAAAAGTTCTCAAAGATTCTGTGCTTTAACATCACAATCTAGCTTACTGTCTATACTTGTGAAGAATTTGAAGAATTTTATTTTTACTTTCAGTATTAAATTTTTCTCAAAATTCTTAAATTTTCTTGCCAAGATTTATTTAAGTATTCAAAATATATATATATATTTATATTACATATAAAATATATACACACATATGTATATCTATGTCTGTGTATATTTTGGTGTCTTTTGTTCAGTGATGGTCAGTGTGAAGAGGTTACTACCGCCTATCACAGATTGTTGTTGTTAGCTGCCCCCTAGTCAGCCCCCAACTCATGATGACCTCATGTGTTGCAGAGTAGAACTGCTCCCTAGCGTTTTCTTGGCTGTAATCTTTATGGAAGCAGTTTGCCAGGCTTTTCTTCCGTGCCACTGCCGGGTAAATTCAAACTGCCAATCCTTAACTTAACAGCTGACTGTAAACTGCTTTTGCCATCCAGGCTCTTCCACCACAGACTAGGCCCATGATATTTGTTGAACACATAATAGAAGGATGGAATGTAGGAGTTGGAAATAGCAATGTTTACTCTGTGTGCCAGGCACAGTGAGAAGTACTTGAAGAAGAGGAAGCTGAATAATTAAAGAGTAACCAAGGGGGAGAGGAGACAAAAGGAAGGGAGGGAAGGGGGGGTTGTTTTAAAGACATTACTTCTTTCATCCGAATGGGTTTAAAGTAGAACTCATTGAACTTGATGTGGAATTTTCAAACCAGACATAATCACTATTCGGCTCTTGCTCCGTGGATTACATGTGGATTGTAGAGCATATATACCTTATACCTTTCTACTGGGGTTCCAGAAATTTGCCCTTTCCATGTAAGCCTATGAAACACAGCTGTATTTTTACCTGAGCTTATCTAAACCTGTGTACCTGTATCACAAGCAGACCATTTAGGATAGTCAGAAGTCACAGGGGAAAGGCACAAGAAATATAGGACTTTCCTGTACTTCCACAGAAACTCCTTTTGGTAATCAAATTAAGCACAGCAATTGAATCATTTTGTAAACCAGCTAGTGATATCCTGAACAGGCGTCAGGGAAGGTTATGGCCACATACGGGAAAGCACCTGTACAGGGTGCACATAGTGCACGTCAGTACACAAGGCCCTTCATATGGAAACACAGTGGTACCTTTGAAAAATTCTTAGTAGCATCTATAAATTTTGCAATTTATAAATTGCAAACTAGTTTAGCAATTTATATTATATTGGATAGTTGCTGTTCAGTTATAACTCAAACCCTCAAACTGCTGAATAGTCTTTTAATTATTCTACTCTGTAGAACTGGTTTGTGAGTGTGTTGAAAGAATAGCAGTCTGATTACTTATCCCTTTACTTTTCCTCCACTATTTTATTTTAATATACCTCTCTCTAATATGAATGTTTGAGATGAACATTCACAAGCAAAATATAGATTTGATTAAGTTGCCGGTATCCAGTAATGAGATGGATGGTTTATTGTAATATTATGATTTGACTCATCTTAATCATTGCAAAAAGAGAGTGATTCTGGACTCTATTTTGACCATGACTACATTAATTTATTCTAACTTGTTGTGGACTTGTTAAAAATGAAGATATTGACTACACAGTACAAGTGTTTTCTCCATCTCTTAACTATCAGTGTGACCTTGGGCAGTTTACTCAAATTCTTTGTGTCTCAGTTTCTTCATCTTTAACATGAGAGATTAATAGTAGCTACTTCAGAATTATGGTGTTGGTGAAGAATATTGAATATACTGTGGACTGCCAAAAGAATGAACAAATCTGTCTTGGAAGAAATACAGCCAGAATGCTCCTTAGAAGCAAGGATGGTGAGACTTCGTCTCATGTACTTTGGACATGTTATCAGGAGGGATCAGTCCCCGGAGAAGGACATCATGCTTGGTAAAGTAGAGGATCAGCGAAAAAGAGATGGCTTGACACAGTGAGATGGGTTGACACAGTGGCTGTAACAATGAGCTCAAGCATAACAATGATTATGAGGATGGCGCAGGACCGGGCAGTGTTTCACTGTGTTATACATAGGGTCACTGAGTTGGAACCGACTCAACGGCCTCTAACAGTAACAACGCTTCAGAGAACTGTGAGAATTAGATAAGCGAATGTATCTCAAAACAGTTCCTGAGATATAATAAGTGCTCAATAAATGATGGCTATTATTATTAATAGACTAATAATTAATTATCCAACTGATTAATAGAATTTTCAAGTATCTAATTATTGTGACCTTTGTATAAGTTTTATAAATTAAGGTTAATTATGCTTATACAACTGTGATTATGTAAGTATATAAAATTTATCTGTAGTAGAGTACAATGATTCTTAAGAAGCTCCCCTTTTACCCACTTATTTCTTATAAGAAGTGGCTTTACAGTATATGAATTTATCAAAACACAGATGTAAAAACATCTCAAGTGTGAATTTCTCTCATTTGTAATTCTTTCACATTTATTTTAATATTCTCTTAAGATGCAGCTTGGCAATCCAGTGTAGCATCCTTGGGCTGTTACCCAACCATTAAAATTTATTTTCACTCTTAAACCTTCAGAGACATCACTGAGCAAATCGAGAATACAAAGACAGTAAGAAAATATTAAAACATCATGGTTGACTTAATAGAAAAAAATATATTCACAGTGCAGTTATTTCTTACACAAGTTATAGAAGCTTTGAGGTTGATAATTGAGTTGGCCACATCTTGAGCCCCACTTTAATTTTCACTTGTCCTGTCTCCAGCTCTGCTTAGCCTCCACTGGGCAGAAACTGAGCTCTGCTTAGCCTCCACTGCCTAACTGGCTCACTTTGGAGCCCCAGATCTTCTATCTCTTGATTCTTGTCCTGGGGCTTCTCTGTGACCTGTGCATGCTTAGCACTCAGATGTGTACAACCGACAGAGCCACCATAGACCAATGGGAGAAAGAAGCCTTCGGATAAGTGCTTCCCTGTTTTCATCTTCTGGCCAACAGTACTCAAACTCATTCCATAAGGCTTCTCAGCAAGTGCCAGTGGAATAGAGCATGAGTGGCCAACTGGATTACACACCCTTGTACTGTCTTTCCCACCTTCCCTGGTTTATGCATCCTACCCTGCACTCTGCTTCCTGGAGTCACTTTCCCAATGAACTATCTGGACACAAGCCTTTGTCACAAGGTCCTCTTGCAAGACAACTCAGGATAATAAAATGTTTATTTACTTTTTTATGTGAAAAGAAAATCTCTCAGGCCTAAGGTCACCATAACTGGAATGACTAAGTAAAAAACAAAAAATTAGTAATTCTGCTGAAGAGTTTATTTTTGAACTTGGAAAAATATCCTAATAATAGGAGTTCATAAAAAATGGAACGTATACTTACTGTCAACCACAAGGGAGATCAAGTTGAGGGCGTATTTTGCAGTAAGTACTATATAAAGAAGGATGTTACACCCATTGAAGATATATTTGTAACTCAAAATAGCTTGTAGTTTAAACATGGATTCATTGAGGTAATAAGGTTTCTTGTTCAGAGACTTTAAAAATGTAGTCTTCTAGTCTTTTACTCTTCTCAGATGTAGAATGGAAGGAAGAAAGAAAATATCAGAAAGGTGGTAAACAGGAAGTGGCATTATTAAGGAAGTAAAAGGTTAAAATAGTTAAAACACAACATAGTGGTCTCCTCTTCTTCCTTCAGCTCTCCACAAACCCCAGGTACGTAGCAGTAAACACAAAAGGAATATCCCTTGGTTTGGAAAACCTCCAGTATTGGTTTTGCCTCCTAAGGAAGCATCTCCCAGAAGGGTTCCTTGAAAATAGAGCCAAGTTAGGTAAAATGATCTTAGAAGGTGTTGTTTAAGTTAGGGATTAGCAAACAATAACACAGATGCCAAAGGTGGCAAAGATGAATGGGAAGACCACGGTAGCAGCCATCACTTAGAAGCAGGGCTTCAAACTGGTTCATTCTGGTTCGACCCCCTACGGAGAATTTGTATTTCCATCCAGATATACAGAATCAGAATCTACATAAGAATCACCTGGAGATTTTGTTAAAATTCTTGTTAAACTGTAGATGCAGTGTATATGGGGTGGAAATGCAGATTATCAGCAGGGGGTCAAATGGAATGAACCAGTTTGAAGCCCTGCCAAGAAGCTTAAAACCAAAAAAAAAAAAAAAAACCCGTAGCCATGGAGTTGATTCTGACTCACAGCAACCCTATAGGACAGAGTAGAACTGCCTCATAGGGTTTCCAAGGAGCGCCTGGTGGATTTGAACTGCCAACCTTTTGGTTAGCAGCCACAGCTCTTAACCACCACACCACCAGGGTTTCCCGCTGAGAAACTTGTGTATATACGTGTTTTTAAGTGTGTATTAACCATAAATTCTAGCTTCTGTAATATGTTTTAGCATCCACATCAAGTAACCCTTCTCCATCCATGTCTGCTATACCTAGATAAGAAGATCCCTCAGTTTTCCCTTTAGTAAATGTCCTAAGCCCCAAGATGCAAGTTTCAAATATAGTTGACTCAAATCCTGGCGTGCTCTGACCTCTCCTGGTCACATTTCCCGTGGAGTCCACAATGAAGTTGCCTGCCCACAGTCCTGCTCCATCTCTGCCGTATGATGCCCCCTGCCTTTTCCCCTTGTGGCCCTGTCTCCTGTGCTGTGAACACCAGGGATGGTGAGTATAATCTTTAAATGTTTCCGGCATTTGTCTTTTGATTTGCATTTGACCTTATCATACTTCAAACATTAGGATTATAACAAGTTTAAAAAGCCTGTGCAGGGGGCATAAGAAGGGGAGAAGGAGTGGTTTGAGTCTCTGGGTGGTGCAGATGGTTAATATGCTTGGCTGGTAACCAAAAGGTTTGTTGGTTCGTGATCAACCCAGAGGTGTCTTGGAAGAAAGGCCTGGTAATCCACTTCAGAAAAATCAGCCATTGAAAACTGAATGCTTAGGGGGCACTGAGCTTCTGTTAAGGGTAATGGTATAATTTGGGAACAGACAGAGTGATGGTTGAACAACACGATGATCAACATGATGATCTGTACATTTGAAGATTGTTGAAATGCCACGTTTTGTTACATATATACCACAATTTTTTTAAAAAGTCTTTATAATGGATATTGGACTAAAAAGGAAAAAAAAAACCCATAGAGCACAGTTCTACTCTGACACACATGAATTGGAGTCAACTCATAGACAGCTGGTTAGGAGTGGATCAGAAAGAGTCTCAGAAAGAGTCTCGCTCATCATCTCCCTCTGTCTGGGAACCCACCCTAGGTATTGGGAACCTGAGGCATAAGGAAGCATTCTTCTTGAATGGTCCTAACTGGGAATCTCCTGAGGCTTGTTAGGGCCAGTCTGGCTTGTGTGTTTTACGTTTCTCACCTACAGAAGTGAGAAAGTATGTAAGTACTTTCATGTAATACATTTATAGAAGAAAAAGGAAAGAAAATCAGAGAGACCCAGGCCACTTCCAGTTTTTAAGGATTCCAGCAAAATATGAATATGGAAATGTCAAAACAGGATGTTTTTATGCCGTATATTTTAACTGTTTATACTTAACAAATAAATACTCTTAAAAACATAAAACCCTTTTATTTGAAATATATATAGATTCACAGAAAGTTGTAAAGACAGTACGGGAGCGGTCCCTGTGTATCCTTCACCCAGCTTTTCCAAATGGCTACATCGTATGTAACTATAATACAATATCAAAACCAGGAAATTGTCATTGGTACAATGTGTGTGTGTAGTTCTATGTCATTTTATCATATATATGGGTTTCCAAGGCTTTAAATCTTTACGGAAGCAGACTGCCACATCTTTCTTTAGTGGAGCAGCTGGTGGGTTTGAACCGCCGACCTTTTGGTTAAAAGCTGAGCGCTAAACCACTGCACTGCCAGGGATCCCTATAGATTCATGTAAACACTACTGCAATCAGGATACAGAAACATTCCATCACCACGAAGACCTCCCTCATGCTACCCCTTAATAGCATACCTGTCTCCCTCATCCACCATCCCTAATCCTTGGCAACCACTAATCTGTTCTCCATCTCTATAATTTTGTCTTTTGAGAATGTTATATCAATGGATCACACATTATGTAATTTGTTGGGATTGGCTTTTTTTCACACAGCACAATGCCCTTGAGAACCATCTACATTGTTTGTGTATCAATAGTTCATTCCTTATTACTGCTGAGTAGTATTCAGTGGTATGGATCTATCAGTTTGTTTAACGATTCATCTACTTTGGACGTTTTGGTTGTTTCCAGTCGTTGCTGTTAGGTGCCGTTGAATTGGTTCTGACTCATAGCAACCCTATGTGCAACAGAACGAAACACTGCCTGGTCCTGCGCCATCCTCACGATCGTTGTTATACTTAAGCCATTGTTGCAGCCACTGTGTCAATTCATCTTGTTTAGGGCCTTCCTCTTCTTTCTGACCCTCCACTTTCCAGTTTTGGGCTATTACAAATAAAGCTTCTATGAACATTCATGTACAGGTTTTTGTGCGAATGTAAGTTTCCATTTCTCTGGGATAATGGCACAGGAGTGTGATTGCTGGCTCATATGGTATTTGTTTAGTTTTATAAGAAACTCTCGTGCTGTTTTCCAGAGTGGCATTTTACATTCCCACCAGCAATGTATGAGTGATCCAGTTTCTCTGCATCCTTACCAGCATTTGGTGTAGTCACTACATATTTTTGATGTGTTGTAGGGGAAAAACATCATAAAGTCTAGTAAAGCAAAAAGCAAGTTTTATTTGGCGTATATTCAAAAGGACAAAAGTGGGAAGCGGACAAGCATGTTGCCACAGCCTCGTCTGCCCGAGTCCAAAGAATATCACAGAATAGACAAAAGTAGGAAAATGGACAAACATGCTGCTACAGTCATGTCTGCCCAAGACCAAAGAATATCACAGAATAAGCAAGAATGGGAAAACGGACAAGCATGCTGCCACAGCCATGTCTGCCCGAGTCCAAGGAAGGTTACAGAGTCATCAGTATATATCAACATCACAAAATGGTAGAATCTTTGAAAGCGTCACTTTTCCACTGATTGGCTAGAAATTGTAATCTTATATTTTGAATCATCTTTCTTAACAATCATTGGTACAGGTTTCAGTTATGAAAGTCAGGAGGGTCTTCATTGGTCCAACAAATTCCTATTCACTAAATGTTAATAGAAAAAGAAAAAGGTGAGAAGTCCTTTGGGTTAGCTTTTATTGCCCTTTTGTGAAAACTTCCTTAAGATAATTTCTGAGATTGTCCCATCTGTTGTCTTATCTCAGGGCCCAGTTGATGTGTCTTTCTAAGTCTGTGAGGCCCAGCCCCAGCTGGGTCACAATTCTCCATTCTCAAGGAGAGGGAATAATAACTCCAGTATTGTTTCCTAAATCAGATGCCATTGTGGTTTTCATTTGCATTTCCCTAATGGCTAATCATGTCATCTTTTTATCCTCTTTGGTGAAAGACCTTTGTGTCTTTTTCTCATTTATAATAATCAGATTATTTGTTTTTTTTATTATTTAGTTTCGAGAATCCTTTATGTATTCTAGATATGAGTCATTTGTTAAGGTATATGGTTTTCAAATCTTTTCTCCTGGTCTGTAGCTTGGCTTTTTCATTATCTTAACAGAGTCTTTCACAGAACAAAAGTATTTAATATGCCGAGGTCTGATTGTCTTAGGCTGAGTTTTCTAGAAAAGCAAAAGCAGTAAAGCATATATGTATCTTTTATATATATATATATACACAAAACCAAATCCATTGCCGTCAAGTCAATTCTGTCTCACAGAGACCCTATAGGACACAGCGGAACTGTCCCATAGGGTTTTCAAGGAGCAGCTGGTGGATTCGAACTGCTGACCTTTCTGTTAGCAGCCAAGCTCTTAACCACTACACCACCATGGATTTATATTAAGGAAATGACTCGTGGTTGTAAAGACTGGAATGTCCCAAGTCTGTGGGTCAGGCTGGAGGCTTCTCCTGATTCACATAGCCTCAGGGGCTGGCAAACTCAAGATAGGCAAGTCAGACAGCAGGGCTCTGGCTCACAGGCTGCAAAGACTGATGAATTCCAAGATCTGCAGACAAGACAGCAGGTAAACTGCTAGCTCAAGTCCCAAGAACCGGAGGTCAGATAAACAGGAGCCAACTGCAGGATCCAGAGCATGTAAAAGCCAACAAGCCTTGCCAGAAAGTCCACTTACATTGGACGCAAGCCACACCCCGAGGAAACTCCCCTTCAACTGATTGGCTACTCACAGCAGATCTCATCATGGAGGTGATCACATTATATCAAAGCTCATCACGGAGGTGATCACATTATTATAAGACTGCCAGAGTATATCATAACTGCCACACTACTGAGAATCATGGCCCAGCCAAGTTGACACACAACCTTAATGATTATACCAATTTATTGATTTTTTTTCTTTTAGGGATTGTGTATTGATGTTATATCTAAGACCGCTTCACCAATCCTTAGGTCCTGAGTATTTTCTCCTATGTTTTCTTCTAAAGGTTTTATAGTTCTGCATTTTACATTTAAGTT